CCGCGCTGTATGAGGTCGATTCCATAAGGAACGCAATTGAAGCGCTTCAATTTTCGATTGCTGGCAAGTAGTTATGTATTTGCAAGCATGCAGCTATTTGCCAGCAGTTGCAATTAAAGCGCATGTACTACGGGCAGGTTCGGACAACTCGTCCAACACACGTCTCCCTAAACGGCAGGGCATGTCCCTGTCTAAGCCCCAGTTGGGCGTTTTCTTCACTTTTTCTCTTTACGTTCGACCACTTTTCACCTACAACTTCCATATAGGTGCTTTTGGCCCGCAAATTCGTTCCTGGACTGTTGCTTTAAAGCGCGCATCGACAAACAAATAAACAGTAAACAGAAACCAGGAGGTAGATAAGAGGTAGACAACTATTATTAGGAGGGAAAACGTACTTGAAAAAAAAAACCTCAAAGTGAGGGATCAAACATGAATCCCATCTCACTTAACCCCCCCCCTTTACAAAAACGCACAGACCGAGCTATGATTCACTGCCACCTCACGAGAAAAAACTATTAACGAGTCAGTAAAAACCCCTGATTCTTAGTCGTAGCACATGTTTATAAAGAATTCAACGGCACATGCAAATAGGCTAAAACATATAATAAGTAATAAAAAAGCAATCGCAGTGAGTCACATTCTTGTCAACCGAACATCGATAGCAGCTGGCAGCGCGCCAGATTTCAAAGCGAGCCGGTCCCGCGACGACTTTTTGCGTGCAGGGTACGGTCTCTTTGCGGGTCCGCCCACTGCGGCATGAGCCCGTCCTCACTACTTCTCCTGCTTGGATTCGCAACTGCTGTGCTCTGTGGCGACACTTGTGACAAGGACTCCTGCCCAAATATGCCCAATAACGAGAGGACCTTCATAGCCGTCAAGCCTGATGGTGTCCACAGGTCAGTGGGAGGGTTCTGGTGTTTTTTGATGGGTTTTTATTGCGGTCTCTTTTTAGGAATCTTGTTGGAAAAATCATCCAACGATTTGAGGAACGTGGTTACAAGCTTGTCGCCCTCAAAATGATGACTGCATCCAAACAACACCTCGAGGTTACTTTATATTCTAATATCTCGTAGCCACATTTGATGAAAACGTATTTTGTTCAGGTCCACTACCAGGAATTGAAAGACAAGCCATTTTTCCCACATCTGATCAAGTACATGGGATCAGGACCAGTTGTGGCGATGGTTTGGCAAGGATTGGACGTCGTCAAGCAAGGCCGTGCTATGCTTGGAGCCACTAACCCCCTTGCTTCCGCTCCGGGAACAATCCGAGGAGACTACTGCATCCAGACGGGTCGCAATATCTGTCACGGATCAGACTCCATCGAATCTGCTCAGAGAGAAATCGCTCACTGGTTCAAACCTGAGGAGATCAACGACTACGATAGCCCGTTCATCAACTCGTGGGTTTATGAGTAAACTAGCGTAGTGTTTTTGTTACGTTGTTCAGGAGATAAAGTATTTCGGACTTGTCGATTGTTACCTTTCTTAAAGTTCAGGCAGCCAGTTGTCGTACAGCCGCGGCTGTTCCTGGTTGGTGTGTAAGCTTCCTAGTTTTTGAAGTTAGTACCATCGGCTTTCTGGCATGACGTCGTCATCGTTTTTTGTGATTCTCTGATCCCCACCTAAGAGGGTTGGTGTCGGTTGCCATGGATACTTCATGGGGCCAAGAAAATACGTCACCGATAATTCATGACGGCCTAGGAAAGTACGTAGTGGGATTGGTAAATGCCTACTAAATTGTTATCTAAATATGATTTCATGAGTTGCAGTTCGTTTTCTGATCATCGTTCAGAGATAGTTACATCCTGGCCTACTGGCCACTGAGCCACCAAGCCTCCTATTTCTCTGGAATCACCAAACACGTCAGCACTCTAAAAACCGTTAAGCAGTATTCGCTGAGAGAAAATCGCAAAACAAATGACCTTATGAATTTATAAGGTGAAAGGATGTCTTCATACATAGAAAGGGAAATAAAAGAAAGGTAACAAAATTTGCTCGAATGTAATGATGACAATTGGCACTTTGATAACAATTGAAATGTCAGTGGAATGTGGAACTGAAGATCATCATCCAATTAGTTGTCCAAGCTTCTGAGAAAGACCCGTGTTGTAGAAGTCACATTCAGGTCGATCGAGGTGATTCTCGAAATCGTACAATGTACGATAAAGTTTGTTGTGAATCGCTCTTGACAATATCGTCAATGACTCGGAAGAGGTATCCAATCTGGAATTTTCAAATTCAATTTGGAACCAATTCTATAGAAAAGATTCAAACTCGTCAAGTCTTTTTTCTTCAAATGTTGAACCTCTAATGACGTCATCTCTCTCCTGAAACGCTACTCCTCGCCTGAACTTCGACAACGGTGTGGCGGCAACTCATGTAGAGCTGGCACAACGACCTTGAACCGTGTGCATTACGCAGTCAATCAATAGCTGTTTCGCAGTTTTTGCAAATACTGAGGTCGTCACATACATCACAACCACTTGCCTCTTCACGATACTGACTCTTAATGGACAATAGGGAAAAAAGTAATAAACAAACAAAATAGGAAGGTAGTAGTTCACTGCTAGTAGTGTCAAATCGTATAGGAACAAAACAGCACTGTTTCGAAGGGGGAACTGTACTCAGAGCAGATTAAATAACTAGTTGTCGTCCTTAACGCGACTAAAGATTGAAAATACGTTCGATGGAACTGTGAGCAAGTCGAGAAAGGCAAGTCGCAAATGCGTGGCTACCGTACTTGCAACCCGGCACTTTTATTACTCAAGGCACTTAAGAATAAGCAAGGATAGGACTTTTGACAAAGACCCTTTCTTGGTATGCGCCACGCATGCTATTAGGTTGTCTCATAAATAGTGTCGCTTTTTTCCCAACCGAAAATTTCCATCTAAATCCTCATGCTCATACATCGATTCATATACCATTCGAAAGAGAATTGTCTGCTCTACAAGATCTTGTGTTCTTCTTCCATCTATGTTCCATGGTTTTCAAATTTTAGGCCTGCGAAATGGGAGGTCCCGCCGACAAAAATTGACCAAACCGACAACTAGCTCTAACTTTATTTTCCCTGCGGAGAAATCAATCAATGATGTACCCTCTACTTACTCATGACCTCTTCTGAACATTCCACCCTTAGGTTGCCGAAAAAGGTTTGCCCTGTTTCTTTTCGAATTGGCCGACCGATAAGCCATGGCAATTTTCAAATTGAAATTCTTCCTCTGAAACGCTATTGTTTTATATCAACTGGTGTATCTTTTGTGAGCACTTCTTCTGCTCTATTCGCTCATTTGTTTTGTTTTAATGTTTGTTAGGAATTAGCTCGAATTTTAGGTGTTTAGGAGTAAGGTGCTTTATCACGAAAGTGACCGCATTTCTTTGAAAAAATTATCCTGAGAAGATGAGAAAATCAACCAGGCGTACATTCCTAACTTAGTCATGACTTGTTCTTTAAATTCTACTAGTTTTTCAATGTCTCGGCTATAAAAAATTTCGACCTAGATCTCAGGTAATGGTGCTCGACCGTCGAGTTCTGGTTGAAAAACCAGGTCTGGAAATGGAACGACGCGACTTGTTGGAAACCTAATAGTGTAATGTTTAGAAGAGGTCATGTAAGTAGAGGGTACATCATTGATTGATTTCTCCCAAGGGAAGATAAAGTTAGAGATAGTTGTCGGTTTGGTCAATTTTTGTCGGCTGGACCTCCCATTTCGCAGGCCTAAAATTTGAAAACCCTGGAACAGAGGTGGAAGTGGAACATAGCATCTTGTAGAGCAGACAATTCTCTTTCGAATGGTATATAAACACGATGTAAAAGCATGGGATTTAGATGAAAATTTTTTGGTTGAAAAAAAGCGACACTATTTATGAGACAACCTAATACTTTACTCAAAGCCATAGTGATGGTTTGAATATGAGGTTTGCCTTTACAATGCTTGCAGAGTGCACCCGATATAACGGTGTACCTATTCTTCCAGACAAGTCCGGCTGACCGCAGACATATAAAAGACCTTTTTAGCTGGCACAGCGGGCGATTCAGAGTTTGATCCTCGGACTGTGCGCGTTATATGCCGCTCCACTTGCCCCACCCCGTTCCCGCTCGCTTTCATGGTTTGTTTCGGCCTCACATATAACTGTACTTCATTGGTAAACCATTCACTCACTGATGACTTAGTGGTTCAGCCCATTGGGCAATACTTCACAGTAACCGCAAGTAAGAGTTTTTGATGTTTATACTACACTTGTTTACCCTAGCCAACCTTCAGCAGCACATCACTCGGAGGTCTTGCTGAGAAATCAAGGAACAGTGCAATTGAACTCAGAAAATGTGATGCTTCGGAAACAAGTAGTGCGGAGGTGCTTGTGTGGTTAGGTTGGGGAGGGGCATTTAGGTGCAGCCCTTTTCTGGCGCGTGGGCGAAACTGCTGAGTGGTTGATCCGTTTGCGCAAAAACTAGGTATTGTTTCACAAGGAACAAATTTTTCAGTGCATCCAAAAAAACGATGGCAATGCCGATAACCGGTAGTCTTTACACCATTTTTAATGTGTGCCTGAAGAGGGGACAAGGCATAAAAAGGATGCTCAATTTCGGTGGATCCTTGCACTTTGAAGGGAAAAATCACATTACAGATAAAATGTTCCGCGTTGATCGACTCATCTATGCATTCGATTTACATTTGAGATTACAGCAGCGTTAGCACGCGCGCTAGTGTCAGCGGCTTATGAGATTTTCCTACCATTTTCGTTTTTTCTACCGTACCGACGAGAAAAGTTCGAATCGATTACAAGGGAAATGCAATAATGCAATAATAATAGTGCAATGTAATAATGCGCTGCAGCCAAAGCACATTCAATTACCCGGCGAGTAGGTTGCTTTTTGATCCGGTCGACCAACTATGACTTCCATAATGCCGCTATTCCAACTCAAACTATGAAATGGAGGAGGTGAACGCATTCTGCCTGACAAATTCCAAACAAAATTAGGTGCAAAATCTCGCCGATTTTCTAAAACAATACGTTGAAATAAACATGCGCTTGAAGAAATATTACTTTGCCATGTGCACGACGAAGGCAAAAGGACAAAAAAGCGCGCGTGTTCAAAGTGCATTCGACATTCAATCTTAGACCGTTCAGATGGCTTTTAAACTATTGTTGACAGCTGAATCAAATTACTGCAAAAGATATAGTATTACACAATAAAAGTTCATGTCATTTGTAAGCAGATCTGAAAATCTTGCAAATAATCTGTCAAAATAAGCTTTCCTAAACTATAGGGCTCTGACGAAAAAATCGAGGTGTGTACACTGTAATTTTTCTAAACTTTGCGACCGATTATATGACGAAAGAGGCGAATACTCGAAAGCAGGCCGGAGTGTGGTGCGCTTTGGATGACGCCAAAGAATGTTACTGGTGGAAGTAGTGTCAACCGTTCGTTCGTACTATTCGAACGAGGGGGTCGCCGCTTGAGCACGGGAAGGGGGAAGATCGAATTTTTGGGGTCGAGTAAGGTTGTCATAGTGGGTGCCCTTCTTCCATCATGGTACCATTTCAGCCCCTCCCCCCTCCTCCTCAATTTAGCCCCACCTGCTCGACGGCCGTTTTGAAGGAAAAAGTGGGCGGAGTTGGCTGTGTCGACTGGTCTCAGAATCAAATACTATATAGAACAGCCATGATGGTGAGGGTGGTGGTCGGATTGAGAAGGGGGAAGAGGGATCGTATTGAGGGAGCCTTCTAGGACTGATGGTGATGGTGGGGATGCATGGAGACTCCCTCGAAGAGAGGGGAGGGGGTAGCAAAATTTTTAAAAAAAAGTGTGAACGTGAAGGTTGAGGTTGGGTGGAAGGGCATTGAGAGGAAGTCCTAGCCACAAACCCAGAACGCTGAGGAGTTCAGTCCAACAATGACGTTCAATAGCGTCATCAAAGTCGCGTGATAGTGATCACTGCCTTTTAATATGTACAGAATTCAGCGATCGAAAGCAAACACTATCCTAGGCTTTTTGCACCGGCTATCGATGGTTCACCGACATCGTCACTAGACTTGCAAACCAGGCCTAACAACAGTGGCCAGCCATCGTCAGCTGTCATTAACACAGCCGCAGTCAAATTTTACCTCTAACGTATCCTTTGCCTCCGGTTTTTATCCACTAGCAGCTTGAACAGGACCATCCTTAATATTCCGCAAAGGAAAAAAGTGGAATTTTATAAAGACACAGCCCGCGATCAAAATATGCAGTTTTTCGCTCAAAGAATAAAGCTTCGAGGAGGACCGTCTGTGCAGAAAAAAGAAATCATTGAAAACACTGGATGTAAGGGCACCTAGTACGCGAGGGAACAGTCATACAAGAGGAAGTACCCGACACGTATGCTGCAAACGAATAGATATGGGTGCAGCGCGGCGGCCAAGACAAAGCCTTAACGTCGTTAGCGCGCACTTCGAGTCGCTACAGTCCCACCATGGCTCTACTTGATGACCCTGTCAGCTTATTCACAGAGAGAATTACTCCATGGGCCTAACCGCGAGTTGAGCCTAAAAGCTTGAATTCATCATTCCATCAACAAGTGCCGGGCGGAGACAAGTGTCAAAATATGAAAGTTGAAGATTATTTTCGTCGGTTTGTTTCCACCCAGACTTCAGCACCGCCTTCCCTCAGGGATTGAATAATCACTGCCGGATGTTTAAGAAGATAAAAACATTAAATCGTATTCTGACGTCGTCGTAAATACTAAATACGCATCCAAGCACCTCCGCGTTCTAAGCGGAAGCCAAATACGTCCAACAGTTTGATTAAGATGTATCTTTGAATGGGCAGGTATCCATTCAACCATAGAGCTCATCAGGTCGCTACGCTAGTGGCTGCAACCTATGTAGAACAGCTCATCAACTATCCTGATCAGGGCCAAGCTTTTATGCGACTCGCGGCGCGGGCTATCACTGAGTACTACCACCTAATACCAACACCTACTGTCAATCTGAGTGAGGAATTTATGAAAGAGATAATCAGTTTCCTCCCAATGTCTTTATATACATACGTTTCCAAGTGGGCTTTTGAACTAATTCGATTAGGATTTTAACACTTCTAACCATAAGATATACATTCGAGAATCTTGTTTACTCCAACAGTATTTCCTAGAAGAAGATGATGCACAAATCCGATCGAATTAGGGAAAATTGAAAAATTAAAGGAAATGTATCGATATTTTCGCAGCGCTTGAAAAGGCATGCCTAGCATATGGCGATGACGATTTCATCCAGAAACGCTTTCTGCTTTTACACCCACCCTATCGTTTACATAAATGTCAAGACAGACACAAAGTTTAGCAGAAAATATCTCTTCGCCAAGTTCCATGAAAGGAAAACAAAAGGAACGGTAGTGTCTATTAACATGAAGCCTTTAAGGCGAATCCATTTGAATCTAGCAAACGTTTTACTTTGAAACAACACTTGATTTGCTCTTTTCATTACTCAGGTCCCAGCTCGCTTGAGCAAATAATTACATAGTGTTCATCCCGGTATTTAGATAACCTGGAAATCGAGAGTACCTCGTGCCATTCAATGGTAATGATTGCACCACACTTAAAACAGGATTTTAAACCAAGATAGAGGTGGTCAGTGGTGCAGGGATGAAGAAAAACCACGAGGAACGGCACAGAGTCCAAAGCCCGAGAAATGGGACCCTTCTTTGCCCATTGATTTCCGCATTGATGCGACTCTCATCGGTGCTGCCCTCTTCAACGCTAACGCTCTCTTTGCTAAACGGCTAGAAGATCACATAGCGAGAGGGAGGCGTGGCGGCTGCTAGCGCGCAGATAGCACCGCGGGGAAGGTCATGCTAGATCGCTGTGGACAGATCTTCGCTGCGAATTACGCAGTCCGCACCCCTTAGAAGTCCGCCTGTCTTCCCACCATGTAAGCTTCACTCTTCCCGGCCTTCTCGTGGAATCCTCCTGTAATAAACAAAACTCCAAATTTAGGCTACCAGCAAATGATCGACTTTCGAATATGCTTTTCCCAGTCCTTCTTTCTTTTGGGAACTATCAAATCAAATTCTCGATACCTTAAAGATAATTGTTAAAAGCCACTTTCAGATTGCCAACAAAAGTTCTCACGCAGACAATTTCAATAGGTTTCCCTTATAATGTGATCCACATTCTAAATTATAGAATGGATGTTCAATTTCAGAGGAAAAACTGGCAAAATGGCAACATCAGGCTAAACGTCATTGACCGTAAAAAAATGGGGGAGAAAAAGCCACTTACCGCGTATCTTTCCAGTTTTCTCCATCTTTGACATAAGCTGCCAGTGAATTGCTTTCACAGTCTGGGCTGAGGTTCCAATTTATAACTTGGACGAGGATAGCCGGCGTACCGCAGACAGATGTAACACCATCACATAATCGGATAGCATAGGGATTCAAGCTAAAAATAATTACTTGCATGAATTCACCAATGATATTTCCAATATTTGGTGAAAAGTGACAGTGTGGACGCGAAATTAAAGTAAATCCCTAGGGTCAGTTTAACTACCTCCAACAGCCTAAGCGTACCAAGCAATGGTTTCGGCTGACGTTTATGACTCACGGTCAGATTGAGCGTCAAAGAAGTTTCGGAAGTACAATTCCTCCCTAAACCTTCTCCATGAATAAGAGCGCTTTCCCTTTTCCTCACACCCACCGCCATCGCCTTCGCCAACTTTCTGCGGAATGCTTTCTGATCGGTGTTATTGTGACGCTGTACTCCTCACTTATGTGCATCTTTTCAAGGGTGCCTTTGACCTCAACTTCAATCGTATGGAGGACAAGGTGCGATCGAGCAGCCTAGGTGGAAAACTCTTGAAAAGCGAGGATTTCCGGCGATTGGTGAAGCCTGCCGCTTCCCCCAGTCAAATCCTATGGAGCACGTGTGGCGTGCATTCAGGAGAGCTATTGTAGCGCATCCCCATGCGCCAACAATGTCCAGCAGTTGTCAATCGCGGTCTTCAAGGAATGGATCGCTTCTCCACAAGAACTCTTAACCAACCTTGTGGCCAGTATGGGAGCACGTAGCAGAGCATGCTTTGCAGTCCGTAGTGTTCATACACCCCATCAAGAACCAGCTCCTCTCTTTTGAATGTCTACCATGAGTTGGAGTAGCCTCACCTATCGACCGCTTCAGACAGGGTATTTGAAGAAAAATGTCTTTTCCAATCGCCCCTTTGCGCTTTTCTGTTAGTAACTCTCTGCACTGTACCGCAACATTTACTTCTATATATGTGCCAAATTTGATCGACCTAGGTTAGCTAGCAACCAGATATCATGTGAAAGTTACTTCCGTCCTTAAGTTTTGCACAGAAGTGTAGACTGCGCAAATCAACAAACTATAATTGATACCTTTTGTCCTTATAGTTCTGATTTGAGTAGTACACGCCGATAATATTTGGATAGGAGGCATGAACAATAGCTAAAGCAACTTCCACGGCAGGTGCGAGAGGGGACGATTCATGGGAGATTGGAACAGCAGCAGAGATCTGAATCACAAAACATTTTTGCACAAGGTGATGCCGAGGAATTCAAAAAAAGTAAATCACAGCATCTCCATTACTCCACAATGACACGTGCAATATATAGCAGGTTCTGCACGCTCTGCTTTGGGACAAAAGCTGGTTTCTCGCGAGCCCATGTGCAAGCCGCTGCACTGTGGGCAAAGCTTATAACTAGACCCTCAGGTTCGCCACTCTCTTTTTATATAATTCTATGGTCTCAAGATTTCATGACCTCTATTCAGGGAATAGCTACTCTCA